GGCGGTCACCATTGTTACCTACAATAAATACTTTTTTTATGACAAGCTTATATAGTCGCTAGAAATAAACATCGCGAGATTTTACGTCTGTATAACTTTTTCTTTTTTAATTTAATTTTAAACATGGTTGAAAATGTCTTTTTTGGCAGTTTTAAGGTTAAGATATCTCGAAATCTTGACGTGATAGAGCAATTCTGCAGCCGGACTGTAATAAAGAATTAAAAAAATTTTTTTTCATTTAATTGCGAAATTGCTACTATCAACAAATTATTTAGTTCCTGTCACTTTATAGAATAGTTCAGTCAAATATAAAACTATTCTATTCTACTGCAGATTTAGTTCATCATGCTTAATTATCCTATCAGATTAATAAAATATTTAGTTCCTCAAACAAAGATTGCGTTGTTCAATCTAAACGTTGCATTCTTTTCACAAATTCTCCATTTCGATAGATTGAATCTTTGTTAACAGAATGATAGCTTTATTCAAATCAATTGAGAATTTTATTCCTTAATCTTAATTAATAGACTGCTGATCCTATTTTTCATTCGTTTAATAAGATAATTGTTTATACTAAACAGATATTTGGTTACTTTCACTTTATATTTTTATGGATGTTTCATGTATTTCATTCCTTGAACAAAAATTCAGTTACTTCAACTAAATGAAGAATTTTATTAACACAATATTTATATCAATAAAATAAATATCGTTTTGCTCTATGGAAATTTACTGTCAAAGTTACAAAATGTGTAAATGCATCAATTATCTAAATTGTCAATTATCTAAATAAATACACGAACAGTACATTGAAGTCATTCAACAAAGCTTTTATTAAACACATATTTTGTTATTTCGACTTTATCTTTCGATACAGACACACACACTTCATATATTTAGTTCCAGAAACAAAATTTTAGTTGCTTTATATTTTCGTGAATATTAATTTTAACTGTATTCTAATTAATAAAATTAAATATTCATTTATCAAACTATATATATTGCTGTTTCAAGTAAGTTTTCGTTTGAATGCAAAATGATTGTATTGTTTGAAATGAACATTTATCTAAG